TGTCCACGTGTCCTTTGATACTAAATCTTCCGCTGCGCTGCTTCCCAGCCCATGATGATAATGATAAGAATGTGTGTTGTTGATTTCTCGTTGGTTCACCCTTTGCACCGTGCACATTGACATCTTGTGAATGTTGCACCTATGCTGCTGGTTGTTGCCTCTTTCGTCATTGCTAGATCCTAGGCTCTCAGTGCATTTCACTTTCTGATATGCTACAAGTGGTATCGGAGCGTTGGCGATGAATCTTGGCAACAACCAATCAATCGATTGATTGATTGGATTGGCGGKTTGCCACCAATCAATCTTCGATTGATTGATCAGTCAATCAGGAGATTGATTGATTGATTGATTGATTGATTGATTGATGGATTGAGTGATTGATTAATTAGGTTGATTGATTATTTGGCAATTGTTTATTTAATCTTGGAAATTTCCCGGAACTAATTATTTGATTATTTTTTTTTATTTTCCCAAGAAATTATTTCTTTTTCCGAGAATTTTTTTTTCGAGAAATTATTTTTTTTTCCGAGAAAATTCTTTCCGAGAAATTATTTCTTTTTCCGAGAATTTTTTTTCCGAGAAATTATTTCTTTTTCCGATAATTTTTTTTCCGATAATTTTTTTTTTTTTTCCGAGAAAATTCTTCAAGAAATTATTATTCTTTTCCGAAAAATTATTTTTCCGCGAAATTTGGTTTCCAAGAACTGAGAATTCCTTTTCCGAATTTTTTTTACCTTGTTCAATTGTTAAATGTCTGCATTTTGATAATTTCGTGATTCTTTTTTCCGAAACTGTCCCTCCACACTTTCACTGCGTAGGTCTGCAAAGTCCGTTCTTTTTTTTCTTTTTTTTTTAAATGGCATTTTTTTTCTTTTTGCAACCTACTCCTACTCTGAGCTGTAAAGATACTTCTTTTCTGTTTTTCTGCAGTTTGAGCACCGAAGGTTCACAATTGCGTTCTGCATCACCTTGGGCACTCAGTGGTATTGGACAGTCTTTTCTTTTCGAATTTTGATTTATTTCTTAATAAAAAAATATATATATATTTTTTTCTTTTTGATTAGGGAACTGTTCAACTTGGGATCTGTCCGATCCTTCCCACCTGTCTGCTGCCTACCTGTTCCTCCCCCTCCAGTCCGGGTACTGGGCCAGTCCGTCAGATTGGCCCTCGGGTGACTCTTCAGACTGTGGGCACAGCAGTGCATGACACTACTCACTCGATCACAGACCAAGGCCATGGACCGGAAGGCGGGAGAATCCCTCCTGGCCTATGAGGAACGCCTGGCGGCATTCATTCAGGAGGCCAACGATAGGGCCGCCGCCGCGGCCAAGGAACGTCATCGGCTTGAACAAGAGGAGGAGGCCAAGCGACAGAAGGAGGAACAGAACCGACTTCGTCAAGAGGAGGCAGACCTGCAGGCGGCAGCCGAACACCGGTCACGCCAGCGGGAACGACTGTTCACGCGGGAGACCGTGATCGGCGATGAGGCCGCACATTKGGTGGAAGTGRCATCTGCAGACGGGGCCCCGGAGACTGAGAAAGGGCTGTCAGCCCTTGCGCAGGTCTCCCACGACCTCGTGGCCACCTGCGCTCTGCAGCAGGAGGAAATCCTTCACCTGCAGCAGACAGTGGACCAGATGCTCGCACGACTGCAGGCGTTGGAAAAACAGCCAGCTGCTGTAGCAGCCGCAGGGCCTTCAAACCTTGCCACCCGTGTTCAAATTTTGGAGGACGACGTCAACAATATCAAGCGTGAGCATCAGGACTTCAGGACGTCGCAGCAAGCAACGAACTTGCAGTTGGAGACGCAGGTCCAGGCGGCCGCCACCGTGACGCCCGCCGCCGCATCCTCCAGGCGCCCACCCAAGCTAGATGACATTCCAGTCTTCTGCGATCAGTCCARGACGRAACCGATCYCGTGGTGGCGCCAGTTTACKCYCAGGCTCGACATGCACCATGTCCCGAACAACGATCGACATCCGTGCTTGTACCACCGATCTGGTGGTGCGTGTCAAGCATGGCTGGACAACATCTTGACCAGCTACGGCGTAGCAGTGTCGGAACTACACACCAAGCTCACTTGGCAGGAGTTGACTGACGCCTGGCACAACAAGCGATTCCAAGTGGAGCCGCCCGACCTGCAAGCGATGGACAAGCTCAACAAGCTCCATCAGAACACGCTGCTCAGTCAGGACTTGTTTATCATGCGCTCGTGTCCAGGTCTACAAAACGCGCTGACTCAGATTGCGGAGACACTCGACACATCTGACAAGCTTTTCAGCACAGCGTCACGGATCATTCTCACGAATATCGAAGCCCGCAACGCCGGCCGATCTTCCGCGACGACGAGTGGCACCCAGCCCAAGCCAAAGGTGGCTTGCATTACTTCTACCGAGGCTGCAACACCAAACGAGGGTGAAGTGTTGGCAGCTGCCCGGGATGGTGGCCGGCCGCGCAACAACCACGGCCGCGACAAGACGAAGACTCAGTCCACCTCTACACCGAGCACCGGATCAGCAGCCGACGAACCTTGGGCGCAATACGGACTCTCGGCGAATTCCTATCGCACCCGACTCAAGTACCGGTATTGCCTTTGGTGCAACAGCACCATCCACGATGCTGCACATTGCCCCACCAAGGGGAAACCCCGTCCGGGAAAGTAGGCGCCGCCGAGGGTGACTCGACACCTCCCTCAACGCCACCGGAAGCGGTTGTGGCCACGACCGCCCTTTCTTCCGAGGCATATGCGGATGTCGKGAGTCTTCCACTTTCGTTCGAAGACTTCGCTKCCCGGCTCGTTCCTTCACTGGATGCTTCTCAAGGACAAGATACATGTGCGGCTTTCTCACCGTCCAAAGGTTCTTCCGCCAGTTCGTCTTCATCAAGGGATTCGGCAAGCGTGTTCAACGAGGAGGCTTTGGACCCGCTCACGCCCAAGGATTTCGCTTGGGTTCCTCTCCCTACGACGGGCAACCTTCCGGGGCCGCAAAGCGCAGCCCTATGCGCCCTCTTACACAAGTATCTTTCCTTCCA